AGCGCCCCGCGGGGAACGGCCGAGCGCCGGGAAGCGGCCGCGCGGGGCCGCCCTTCCCCTCCGGCCGAGGCCCTCCCAGCACTCGGCCTCAGGGGTTGTGAACCTCCTGCCCTTCCCCCGGCCGAGGAACGTCACTAGTCACGTCAGAAAAAAGCAACTGACAACGCTTCCAGGACGAAATGCAAGAAGCGATCAGTAACTCTTTTCGCTTTTGCTGTCAAACCATTCTAAAGCAGGCTACATCGCAAAAAAGCCCCAAACATTTTTAGCAGATTTTTTTTCACCGACAAGAAGCTTGAGAGCGGTGCTTGTGGTAGAGGGCTTCTATGCCGTTTCTATGCGGGTCTGTCCCCTCCACACCCCTGCTACAGTAAGGGGAGGAGGAGGAAAGTGAGCAAGCCCTGCCCAGTGCAGGCTCCTCAGGGCTTTCAGAATCTCGGTAACACTGCTATCCCCCCACACCCTCGGGTCAATGGAGCCAGAATGCGAAGAGTCTCCTTGCTCATGCCAAAGAGCTGCTATCCAACACACAAATAACGGCCGAATTACCTGTTGAAACTAAAAGGCTCGCTGCCCTTTATTCAGTCAGCTCATTTTTTATAGAGCTGTAGATCTTCACAGCCAAATTTAACAAGACGTAGAGGTCTACAAGATGAGTCAACTAAGAATTTCAAGAGTTATTCTGTGGTCTAGAGGGACACAGGGACAATCAGTCTGACTGCATGCAGAAATTTTCTTCAGAAAATCAGCTTGAAATCCAGCATGTATAATTTAGTAGTAATAGTAATTTAATAGTAGTAGTAACGGCACCAATTTTGCTAAATCATGATGCTATTTTAGTAATGGCACCGATTCAAATCACATTTCTTATGTTTCTACAAAACACTGAAAATACACTCTCAGAGTACCACAAATTTGAAAATGTGGCATGTACAGAAAGGCACAATCCACAAAAAACAGAATTCCTAAGAGACTTGCAATGTCTTATTGATTCTAATACAGAAACTGAAAAAAAGACATTCTCCAAAACAGCCAGAGAAAAGCTGTCAAATAATTCAGTACAGGAGATATAGTTTAAATGGAACATAGATAACACAGCAGATCATCCACACAGATGGCAGCTTCTTCTCAGCAACATCATTCTGCATGTCAGAAATGTGAAACTCTGGATATCAGAAAAGTTCTCAGAAACAGTCATAAAAAGCTTCTCTGACTCAGGTATCTGTAACAGGAGTCACTGTTACTTCTTACGCAGAGTTGAAAGGGGAGATCAGACATACAGCATGCTCCATCTGCAACTGTTAGCAGCGTAACTTCCTCTTGAATGTGACTTCTTTCCTGGATAATGAGTTGGCAACCATTGTAAGACACAAGTATGTAACAGTACAAAGTAAACTGAATTTATGGCTCAGTCATGTCAATGTAGGTGGCTGAGAAAAAATCATGCAACTTAAGTCTGGTGCAAAACACCACAGAATCTCCTGCCTCATGGGTACACCTTCTGAGCGGCTGAAAGGCATAATCTGTATTCTGCCAATTCTCTTTTCCCTCTTCCATATATACAGCACATACAGAAGTACAACAAATGACTATTTCAGTTATCAGAAAGCAAAACTGAAATTCAGTGCCATGGAGCAGCGAGTCTGACAGCCTTGTTCCAAGCAGTGACAATGCAGGAGCAGAGGAGGAGTGGCTTGTTTTATCTTGTTCTGAAAAGTAGATATTTTGGCAGTCCGTGACCATGAAATTTCGCCAGCATGTCATTTTTTATGTTCCTGTGCTAACACCCTAAACTCATGATGGATCCAGAATTAATTCTTTTCCCCCTTTTCTTTTGGCTACTGAATGGAAGTTTGGTATCATTCAACCACTCTATCTGCAATACATGTACAACTTGATGCAACCCAGGCCCTGCATCCAGTCACCTTCCAGACTCAAATTTTAGGTGCACAGTACAGCAAGAACAGACAGTCCCTATCACGTGTACGGAGGGACACAAAAAGCTATGGAAGAAGTGACAGACAACTTCTGGCATCACAAAATTCCTGTGTGTTAATAAATACTGACTTCATCGCTACTTTTCACCATGCAGCGAGTACAGGGAATCAATCTACCCACACGCCACTCTTGAAAGAGGTGTCAAGGCAATAAATACTGCTTAGCTGAATGATTACATAGTGAGTACTGCTATGGTTTAGGAATCTACTGAAGGTCAAGACATCAGTGTAGAAAATCTGTATCTGACATCCACGAATGCTGCACAATACATGACATGTCCCCACAACTCTCTGGTCATTAGAGGGCTGTGACCACTTCCGACCCAAGCAGCCAGACACAAGGAGACTCCTTTTTCACTGCAAGGGTTATTTACAGGAGCCTCTACAGTTTTCAAAACAGCCTTTCTTCGTCATTTCTTAAGGAAGAGGACACAGACTTTACTTACTGTGTCATGCACTAAGGTGAAGAACATGTATACTTCATAACCCCCAAACCAAACCTACATTGTCACAAAACTATCAGAAACAAAATATATCCTATTGCTAATATTTTAAGTAAATAGTTCTATTTGGCATCAGAAAACCCCCAAACAACCAACCCACAAAACCCCACCACATTGTTAGATCCTGTAAGGATAGCCACTATTATTCTTACTTCCTTTCTCCCTTTTCTTCTTTCTCCTTCCAATATTGATGCTGTATTTCTCCTCCAAATCTTCTTTTCCCTACTCGTTCTTCTCTTGGTTCTCCCTACCATTCCCCTTCTTGTTCCTGCTTGAAATTTCCGTTATTTCTTTCCCTCATCTCTCTGCCTCCTCTTGGTTCCATTCTCCCTGCTTTTGGTTGTCTACAAGGCAGCAGAAGTGCTCATCACATGCAAAAGCTAGTAAGGGAAATGGGAAAAAGTGAAATTAATTTGTGAAAGAAATCACATTTATTAACATCACATACATATATAGGATAACTAGGAATCATCTTACTTCTACAACCACAGAAAACTTACTTGTTTCACACCAGTTGCTTCATTTACCAGCTGCTACAGGAAGTAACTTCTAAGATTCCAAATCTGTCATTTTATAATCCTTGCTCTTACCCCATGAAACATGAGCATGGTAGAGTTTCAAAATTACCCTTGTGCTTTATTTTACTGTAAGATAGTTACTTATTAAATATTCAGGGTTAGAATGAATGCTATTTTCATTACCTATCACATATAACACAGACCCTTCTGTTGACGCAATTCAGTAAGTTCTCTACTTGAGTGTGTGGAATACATATGAAAGTAATTTTAAGACACGAAGTATTTTTAAAGCCAGAAGCAATATGGCACTAGTTGAAGAAAAGGACCGTTTCAATTGGCCCTTTCCTAGAAAACAGTAAACTGAAAGGAAGACCTGCCCCCTCTCCCTGCCCCGCTATGATGCATTTATTTCCACACTTCATTAAATTGGATTTAGTATTTTTACTTTAACATTCATAGAGAACAAGCTTTGTTCTCTGGAGCATGTCCAGAGAAGGGCAACGAGGCTGGTGAAGGGTCTGCAGAACAAGTCTTATGAGGAGCGGCTGAGGGAACTGGGGTTGTTTAGCCTGGAGAAAAGGAGGCTCAGGGGAGACCTTATCACGCTCTACAACTACCTGAAAGGAGGTTGTAGCGAGGTGGGTGTTGGTCTCTTCTCCCAAGTATCTAGCGGTAGGACAAGAGGAAATGGCCTCAAGTTGCGCCAGGGGAGGTTTAGATTGGACATGAGGAAAAATGTCTTTACTGAAAGAGCGGTTAAACATTGGAACAGGCTGCCCAGGGAAGTGGTTGAGTCACCATCCCTGGAGGTATTTAAAAGACGTGTAGATGAGGCGCTTCGGGACATGGTTTAGTGGGCATGGTGGTGCTGGGTTGACGGTTGGACTCGATGATCTTAGAGGTCTTTTCCAACCTTAATGATTCTATGATTTAGAGAATGTCTGAATTTTGCAAAATATTATTTTCTATTTTTCCTCTTATGCCTGTGCCTACATAAAATTACAGTAACACAAATAACACATGTACCCATAGTTTTAACATAAAATTTTGGGTTGCATTTCCCAATTCAAAGCTATTAAGAAGTTTCCATAAACTTTTTAAAGAGGACACTATAGCTTATGAAGTGAAAAGAGAAAACTATGGAATGCATAGGGTTGCAGTACAGGTGAATTATTTTTCTAAATTGTGCAAAACTTTCTTCCCATCACAACTGTGTATGTAACTTTCTAGAGTTAACATGCAAATAAAACTGAATACAAAATTAAAAAAGGTAACAAGTGAAGATTTAATCACAATGATATAAAATCTACTTTGTATATTATACAAAATGGTACATTAATATAAATAAATATATATTTTAATCTTAACATTTTGTATGGATAAAGACTATAAGGTAAAACTTGTTCAGTGGATTTCTCCTCTTGGTATACTCTTAACAATCCCATCAATCAGCAGTTTAGGAACCTCTTAAGCCAGGAAGAGACTGGGTCTACATCCTGTAACAAGGAAGGACTCCTGAGCACTTTTTAGACTTTGGTATCTACTCTTTGCCAAATAAAAATGATTTTTACTTCCAATTCTAGAAGCTACTTGAAAACTCATTTGTTGTTTTCTGAAT